TCCTCCTCCTCCTCCTCCTCCTCCTCCTCCTCCTCCTCCTGGGGGGCGCGGCAGAAACACCACCCGAGGCTGGGTCGGAGAAGCCGACGACCGATCCCCCAGCTGAAACATCTTGCCCAACGCCAGTCGGGGCCCCTCACTACAGTCGGGGCGCTGACCTAAGGAACCCTAAGTAAGGAACGAGGCCCCTATTTTCCATAAGTTAAACTTCGATTCCATATCGAAAACCTAAGGACAAACCTAAGGCAAGCTGTGAGACAATCAAGGAACACCGAGCCCCTCCCCAACGAGAAGGGTTCCTTCTCCAGGGCCCCGACTGTAGGCTGAGCGAAGTGACGCATGTGGAACCCATCGGCAGAAAAAGCCGTGGCGCGAGAGCAGCCACGGCCGAAGCCCCTCAGCGCTGCCAGGTCCAAGAACGGCGGGAGCCCCCGCGCGTCCTCGCAGGCAAGACTGTCAGGAGGCCTCGCCCGGAGATGGGCAGCGTCCCGCAGGTCACACTGGGCCGATCCGACCCGATGACCCCCTCCGAGCGGAGGGTCGCAGTCGGGCGCAAAGGCTTGGGGGTCTCTCGCGCACAGATGGGCCCCCTCACTTCCGCGTCGATGCCCTCCACGACTCGCCACCCCTAGATGACTACCTATCAGACCACCCCAACCCAACCCGAAGACCCGAATTTCGGGTCGGGGGGGGGTACAGGTTCCATGTGTTTTCTCGGTGTTCCCCCACCCCGCCCAACTGGAAATGGAGGGCAAATTGAGGCCTTCGGGTTGGGTTGGGGTGGTTTGGTAGGTGGTAACTAGACCCCTTCTGCACGGGAGCGACCGCCTCGCGACGGGGACCTCCCCCCCCCGTCCTCCAACAGCTGGACCACGGAAGGCCACCGGGCCACCCTGACGACCAGTGAGCGCAACGGCCCGATCGCGCACAGCGCCCCGTGGTCCCCGGCGTTCCAGGACACTCCGAGGAGGCCGCCGGAGCCGGCCCGCCAGAGATAAAGGGAAATTAGGACACACAAATAAATACACACAAATAAAAATAGTCCCCATATTTTCCCATATTTTCTGGGTTTTTGTCTTCCCCCCATATTTTCCCATATTTTCCTGGGAATCGAGGATTAATTGTGTCTGTGTGTGTTTTTTTCCCTCCTGAAGAGACTGGGCCGCGGGGGGCTCGCCGGGGCCCCCCGCCGCGGCAGGCGACCGGTCGGGGCGCGCAGCTGGATGGCGGAAGCACCGACTGCCTGCCGCGCCGAGGGGGGGGCGAGCTTGGAAGCCTGCGCAAGCGGGCCGCGCCACTCGCGTCGCGCGCGGCGCCGCGCGCCCCTCTGACGGGGGCAAGGGGGGGGGGTCTGCGTCGAGTTGCGCAGCTCGACCTCTCGCCGAGGTTGGCACGCGCCTCGCAGGCCACATCCAGCGCTGAAGAGCGCTGCCCCCAGGCATCCCGGATCCACCTGCTCCGAGGTGCGGCCCACAACGACTCCAGGGTGTGGACCCCAGAAAAGGGCGCGATGGGAAGTGTCATGGCCGGGTCAACATGGGTCCTGGGTGGCTGCCGGAATCCCCGAACTCGCGGCGCACTTTGGGACCTGCGGATCTCCAGACTGATAGGCGCATGAAGATCGGCGACAGCCTCCTTCTCCTCGAGCGAGACTTTCTTAGCGCGCTTGCTGAGAGCGTGAGCTTTCCGGAAGCCAACTGAGAATCGCAATGCCTGGCACGGTTGGGCCCGCTGCACGCCCCGCGATCCGAAGGGGCACTCGCTCTCATGGTGGCCTTGGAGAAGCTCCAGATACCCACGCTCGCGGAAAACTTCCGGAACCACATCGAAATCGCCCCCCGACAAGGCACGGCCCGGGGCGATGAAGTCATGCCGCTGCATCCGAGAGGATGCCGATGTGAGCGTCGCTCCGTAACTCGCAGGCGCGCAGGTAGACGCTGGTGACCAGGAGCGGAGGCTGGCCGAGACGATGGGCGATGGCCAGCAACGCAGACGTCCCTGGCCCAGGCTCGCGAAGAGGCGGAAGCCGAGAGCCACGCGCCAAGCAGTGGCAGCACCTGCTGAGGGTCCCCCTGCAGGAGTTTCCGAGTGCGACGTGTAATTACCCCAAGCGCCAGCCTGGCCAAGGCACTCAAAACTGCGAAACTCCTGCTCTTGGATGACGACGATGCGCGCGCTCGTGGAGGGCAAACGCTTACGCGCCTTTCCCAGCCCCGGCCTATTAAAAGTCTCCAGGGTGAAACCGAAATCCTTACCAGGACCCTGTTCGGGTGGATGGGGGGATGATGACACTGGGCAGATTCAGAATATCGGAGACTGCACTGGGCTCCTCATCGAAGCAGCGTAACGCATCAGGCACAGTGCTCACGCCGCCCTCACCCACGGAGCCTGTTGATGGTGGCCTCGAGGATGGCAGGCCGCTCGGACTTGGTCTCTGCGTTGGCCGACTGACCACTGAGCAACACGCGCAAGTCCTCGTCCGTGTCGACACTGAAGGTTCCGGACCCGGACCCGGAGGCGGAGGCGGAGGAGGAGGAGGAGGAAAAGGAGGAGGCGGAGGAGGAGGAGGAAGAGGAGGAGGAGGAGGAGGCGGAGGCGGAGGCGGAGGCGGGGGGGAGGGGGAGAGGGGGAGGGGGAGGGGAGGGGGAGGGGGGGCGGGGGAGGGGGCGGGGGAGGGGGAGGGGGAGGGGGAGGGGGCGGGGGCAGCAGGAGCGGCACGGCCTGCGCCAGCAGCCAGCACTCGGACAAGGCCGCAGCTCCTCTGCCGGCAGCATTTTGGCTGCAGCGGCCACGGCAGAGCCTCGGCCTCCGAGGCCGCCCGCCTGGCCCGAGACGGGAGCCGCCTGCGCGGCCTCCGTCTTGCCCGCGGGCAGCTCCGGGCTGGATCCCTCGACTGCCTTGGCCACGTCCTTGAGGGGAGTGCCCCTGGCGGTAGGCGTGTCGCTGAACTCTCTGACGTTGATGGGCGGGGCCGGGTCCTCAGGAGGCACCAACCTGGATGGAAGGTCGCGAGGCCGAACGCGAAGTTGTTCGATCTCACTTCCGATGTGGATGCGCTTGGCAAGCAGGTCGTCACCGCGTTTCTTGGCGTTCGCCTGCTTCTGGACTGAAGTGGCCTGTGCACCAGCGTCCTGCTTGTCCAGGTTCTCTGGCTTGAACTGAACCGCCGAGGAAGATAACGCCGCCAAAAGCGCGTCTCCGCCTGGGACGGAAGCTTTCTTGAAGTGCTTGGAAGGGGGCCTCCAGGTACTCCATGGTGTTGCCTGAGGGTGGTGGAAGCACGATGCCGCCTCCTAAGCCGCCACCGCTCTGAGCACCGTATCCTTTGCATGCTCTTTTGCCGCCGTCGTGGCGAGCACGCTTACCACCACCACCACCATCAGCCCAAACGCAAGGACCGCGACGAGGCTGGCCTTTCGGGAAGATCTGCAACAATGGTGAGTGGCACGCATTGCACCACTGGAACCACGGCCGGTTCTTCTTGCAACCGCGAGGTGGGCACGCGAGAGCAGCTGGAGCACCGCCCGCCATGGGTGGAAAAAGAAAGGCATCTTGTGATGCGCACTGCAACCGCACCAGTACACGGACAGGTGTGTGCGTGTGTGACACAGGCAACAGATGCCTGGAACGACGTGTTCCCCTGGAATGGCAACCACCTGTGGGGTCACGTGTCGCGTCGGTCGCCACCTCGCGTGTGGGGGCGTCCACAAATCGTCTTGAGCCAAAAAGGCTTCCGCGAACACGGCTACGGAGAAGGGGAGGGGAGGCAGGGGAGGTGGGGAAGAAGGGGAGGTGTGAGGCAGAGGAGAGCGCGCAGGTGGCCGAGTCCTTGAACAACTTCTTCTGCCAGTTGTGGCTTCTGAGGTCAATCAGATCCTGAATCCGGAATTGTATTCTCTTCGAGAATAAATGTCTGCCAGTCGCGGGGTCGACCTCCTGGGAGCCGCGGTGTTCTCAGCCCCTGCCCAGGTGTTCGGGGCAGCCTCATCGTCCTCCCCCTCCTTCCTCCCTCCCCTCCTCCCTCCTCCCCCTCCCCCTCCTTCCTCCCGCCTCCCTGCTCCCTCCTCCTCCCTCCTCCTCCTCCTCCTCCAGCCTCCTCCTCCTCCTCCTCCTCCTGAAATCCGACGCTTCACCCTCCTCGGGAACGAGGACCAACCAGCCGTGGCATCCACCTCGCGCGAACCAAGAGTGCACTCTCCCCCCATCGATTCCTGCTGCGGCTCCCGGCCTCCCCTCCCGCGGAACCACGCGGCCGGAGACCCGTGGCGCGAGGGGTCGGGTGGGAGGGCTGAGAGTGACAGAGTCCAGTCGCACTCCTTTTCCTCCTCCTCCTCCTCCTCCTCCTCCTGTCTCGCCCACCTCCTGGAACGACGATTCACACCAGCTGCTGGGAATTCGCCCACATTGGACCACGGACCTGGAGAAACACGCTAGAAGGAATAACGACACACCCTCGTGCGCGTGTGCGGACCTCCTCCCGCCGGCTGCGAGCCGTTCCATCAAGTCCCCGGCCGCCCCACGCCGAGGTCCACCAGAAGGAGGCCTCTGGGGCAACCCTGCCGCAGCCCGGGTAAGGCCTGCCTGGAACTTCGATTTCCCAGGTGAACTCAAAGAGTCAAGGATTGCATCGCTTTGAACGTGCCTCAGCATCAGCAGGAACCAAGCAAGCCTCATTTCCGATATGTGCATATATATATATATATATATATATATGTGTATGCATATATCAGCCAGCGTGGACCCCAAACAAAGTGTTTCGGGCCATCCGCAACTATGCATCTGGGTACGGAGTGGGCGCGCCCCCATCTAAGCCTCAATCTTCAGTCCTCTGGAGCATGTAAGGGGCCCAGACCCCCAATGGCCAAATCTTTCCGGGTTTCTCGCGTGCTCCCTGGTCGGGGGCGGCCATGAGGGGGGCGTCCGTAGGGGAGCAAAAAGTGGCATAAACATAAAAACTCGGAGGTCGCGCGGATTTCTCGGATCGGCGCTGGGGGCCCCCGGCGGCGCCTCCGGCGCCGCCCCTGGCGCTCTCCGCGCGCCAGGGAGGGGGGTCCAGCGCCGATCCGAAAAATCCGCGCGGACCAAGAGGCCCCCAAGACGGCCCAAGACGTCTCCAAGACGCTCAAAATGGCCTCCAAGACGGCCCAAGAGCCCTCCAAGACGTCCTCCAAGAAGGCCCCAAAGGGTCGAAATGGCCTCCAGACGGCCAAGATGACCTTCAAGATGCTCACGTGTTCCCCGAAGGCTTTCCAAACCGATTCGGGGAACACATGGTCCGATAGCTTGGCAAGTCTAGTCTCCACGTTTGGCCACATAGGCGCTTCCAAAAAGGCAGGGGGCGGCGGTGATTCGCCGTAGGCGTCTTCGATCCGCCGCCCCCTGTCGATTCATCGCAGGGGTGCCTGGCGTGCTGGATCCTTTCGGTTTTGGTTTTGGTTCTTTTTCCAAAAGAACTCCCCCTGGCGTTTCGGCCCGTCCCGCCGGGGACCCGGGAGGATTACCCAGGACCGCAACGTCCACAACAAATCCTCCAAGACGGCTCAAGATGGCGTCCAAGATGATTCTACACGGTTCTAGATGGCCTCCCTGACGGCCCAAGAGCGTCCAAGATACCTCCAAGTTCGCCCAAGAAGCCTCCAAGACGGCCCAAGACGGCCTCAGAGGCCCCCAAGAGGTCCCCCAGGAGGGTCCGAAGAGGCCGAAATCGTTGGTTTTCCTTAGGTTTTTGAAGGATTTTCGAATTTGTTTCTTCTCGGCATTCCGACGGCTCATGACGGCCCAAGAGGCCCATCGTGCGTTGACCCCTCAATGCTGGGCCTGTGCCCCGTCATGCGCTGACCCCTCCTGCTGGGGATGTGATCCTACCCTCTGGGGTGTGGGCACCTCATGCGTTGGCCCATGCTGGGCTTGTGGCCCCCGATGCGCTGCCATTGACGTGCTAGAGCTGTTGCCCAACGTGCGTTGACGCCTCATGTTGGGGCTTGACCCCCCATGTGTTGACCCCTTCTGCCAGTGTCTGGACCCCTCACGCGTTCGAGCCTCCTGCCGGAGCTCTGACCCCCTCGTGGTGGGGCTTGAGCCCCTCCTGTGCGCTGCAGTACTCATGCCGAGGTTCGGGCCCGCCTGATTTGCCCGACCATGCCGAAGCTGCGGCCCGTCATCGGGAGCGGCCAAGAGGGGGGGGTCCAAGAGGGGGGGTGCAGATCATGACCGGCGGCATGTGCGCGACCCAGCGGGGGGGCCAGGAACGCAATGAAGTGAGAAGAGGCGCCATGAAATCTGGGGAAATATCATGGCCCCCGCCATGATATCCCCCCCCCCCTAGTCATCACCCCCTCCTCCTCCTCCTCCTCCCCCTCCTCCCACCTCCCTCCTCCCCCTCCTCCTCCTCTCCCTCTCCTCCTCCTCCTCCTCCCCCTCCTCCCCCCTCCTCCTCCTCCTCCTTCCTCCTCCCCCTCCCCTCCCCTCCCCCCTCCCCCTCCTCCTCCTCTCTCCTCCTCCTCCCTCCTCCTCCTCCTCCTCCTCCTCTCCTCCTCCTCCTCCTCCTCTCCTCCTCCTCCTCCTCCTCCTCCCCCCTCCTCCCCCCTCCTCCCCCTCCTCCTCCTCCTCCTCCTCCTCCTCCTCCTCCTCCTCCTCCTCCTCCTCCTCCTCCTCCTCCTCGACGGTCTTCGTGCTGGGCCCGTGGCCCCGCCCGCCGCGCGTGGGCGCCCGCTGCTCGGGCTCGGGGCTCCTCGCTGGCCATCGCTCGGACGTCCGCTTCCTGTGCTCGTTTCGGCTTCGTGCGTGGCTCCTTCGCGAGATGATCAAGGATGCTCCTCGATGGTCCTCGCCGAGGGCTTGTATCGGTTTCGTGCGTGGTTCCTTCGCGAGATGATCAAGGATGCTCCTCGATGGTCCTCGCCGAGGGCTTGTATCGGTTTCGTGCGTGGTTCCTTCGCGAGATGATCAAGGATGCTCCTCGATGGTCCTCGCCGAGGGCTTGTATCGGTTTCGTGCGTGGCTCCTTCGCGAGATGATCAAGGATGCTCCTCGATGGTCCTCGCCGAGGGCTTGTTTCGGCTTCGTGCGTGGTTCCTTCGCGAGATGATCAAGGATGCTCCTCGATGGTCCTCGCCGAGGGCTTGTTTCGGCTTCGTGCGTGGTTCCTTCGCGAGATGATCAAGGATGCTCCTCGATGGTCCTCGCCGAGGGCTTGTATCGGTTTCGTGCGTGGTTCCTCGCGATGATCAAGGATGCTCCTCGATGGTCTCGCCGAGGGCTTGTATCGGTTTCGTGCGTGGTTCCTTCGCGAGATGATCAAGGATGCTCCTCGATGGTCCTCGCCGAGGGCTTGTATCGGTTTCGTGCGTGGTTCCTTCGCGAGATGATCAAGGATGCTCCTCGATGGTCCTCGCCGAGGCTTGTATCGGTTTCGTGCGTGGTTCCTTCCGAGGGCTTGTATCGGTTTCGTGCGTGGCTCCTTCGCGAGATGATCAAGGATGCTCCTCGATGGTCCTCGCCGAGGGCTTGTATCGGTTTCGTGCGTGGTTCCTTCGCGAGATGATCAAGGATGCTCCTCGATGGTCCTCGCCGAGGGCTTGTTTCGGCTTCGTGCGTGGTTCCTTCGCGAGATGATCAAGGATGCTCCTCGATGGTCCTCGCCGAGGGCTTGTTTCGGCTTCGTGCGTGGTTCCTTCGCGAGATGATCAAGGATGCTCCTCGATGGTCCTCGCCGAGGGCTTGTATCGGTTTCGTGCGTGGCTCCTTCGCGAGATGATCAAGGATGCTCCTCGATGGTCCTCGCCGAGGGCTTGTTTCGGCTTCGTGCGTGGCTTTTTCGCGAGATGATCAAGGATGCTCCTCGAGGGTCCCCGCCGAGGAAAAAACGCACACGTCCGAGCGATGCCAGGCCTCGTGCGCCGGCACCCCTGCTGTCGATTGGCGGGCGGGGCCGCGGGCCTCCGCGGGGGGGGGGGGGGCACGCCGCCCCGGCCGCCCCCCGCGGCGACGGCCCCCGCTGCCCGTGTGCATGTGGTCGGTGGCGTGCGCGCGGTTTTGGCCAAGTGGCCCAGGAGGCTCCCCGAGGCGCCACGCCGAAAGAGCTGCACACGCCCGATGGGATGCCTTCGGACGCCGTCAACCCTCGGGTTGCGATGCTGTCCTGCCGTGGAGGCGGCCCCGCTGGCACCCGTGAGGCGGGGGGCGACCCGGGCGCCGTGGGGCACGTCCCCGCTGCAGCCCCACGGGGATGGCGCATCTGCGCTGGCGCCGAGCACAGTTGGGGCGTTGACCTAAGGAACCCTAAATAAGGAACGAGGACCTTTTTTCATAAGTTGAACTTCGACTGCTCCATGCGTGTTTTTGTTCGTGTGCCCCGCCCCCCCCCACTGGAAATGGAGGGCAAATTGAGGCCTTCGGGTTGTGTTGGGGTAGTTTGGTGGGCGGTGAGTTCCACGCTTGCGAGGCGGGGATTTACCCGTATCCGCCGCCTGGGAACCGACGTCCTGGTGCCCCGGCGGGCGGTGGACGTGGGTATAGTTTAGCCCCCGGGGGCCCGAATGTATTATTTCCCACGAGAGGTCACAAGTCCATCAGTGCAGTGCCCGGTGATGAATCACCGTCTTAATCGGCCAACTGCTTTGCCGGAAGCTGTAATGGCAAGAGCGGCGGAGAGGGGGGGCGAGATCGGCCCGCTCGCTGGGCCTCCGGCCTCGCTGCAGCATCGAAGGCGTCCGACTCCTCCACGCCTTTGTGGGACAACTTCGGACATTCGAAAAGCTTCGATGTGCATTTCGCGCGCCTCGGAGGCGCGCGAAGATCGACCCCGCGAGCGGTGGCTGTGGATATACCTGAAGGGAAACTGGGACACACAAATAAATACACACAAATAAAAAAGATTCCCCATATTTTCCTATATTTTCTGGGTTTCTGTCTTCCCCCCCACTTCCCATATTTTCCCATATTTTCTGGGAAATCGACGATTCATTGTGTCTGTGTTTTTTTTTTCCCTCCTGCGAAGATCGACCCCGCGAGCGGTGGCTGTGGACATACCCTCCCGCCTCGGAGCCCTGGCCGAGGCGGGGCCGCCGGCGGCGCTCCGCCTCGCGCGCCCGAGGGCGGGTGGCGCCGCACGCCGGCACGGCGCGGCGGGCCTGCCGGCGTGCCCCCGCGCCAGCTCCCGGGCAAGTAGGGCCCAGGTTAGGGCGACGCAATCTATACATATCCACTGCTCCCTGGCCAGGCCCATCCTGAACACAGCAGCTGTGTATACGCCACGCCCTCCTGGTTTGGCCAGGAGGGCGTATACACAGCTCCTGGGTTCAGGATGGGCCTGGCCAGGGAGCAGTGGATATGTATAGATTGCGTCGCCCAACAGGTGCGGGCAATAGTTATGTCCACATCCAGTGAGTCTAGGAGTTTTGGGCCACCTTCTCCAGAAACTGGAGGCGCACTGGATACGGATAAACATCTGGCCCCCAAAGGCTCGATGTTTATCCATATCCGGTGCGACTCGGCCTTGCGGTACCCCTTCCCAAACATTCAAAGACAATCTGCATATGGATATAAGTATTGCCCGCACCAGCATCGAACTGACAGGTCGGACCGGCGCTCGACACGAATCGGATCGGCGGAGATCGGCAGCCGAGTGGAGAAAAGTCGAGTCGGCGGAAGTCGGCAGGCTGGTATGCGTCCGATGAGACATGGGAGCCCAAAACGGAATCCCAAGTCGAGTCGAATCGGAATCGGAAGCCATCGAAACCGAATCGGATCGAATCGGAGGAATCGAAACGCGCCCTGCCAAGGTGGGAGGCGAACTGGGCTGCCGTGGAGCAGACCCCCTCGGTCGCACATCAGGCGGCGGTCCGTGCTACTGCGGAGCTAGGTGGCGATCCGTCCTGCTGTGGGCCGGACCCACCCGTCGCCTCTGAGGCGGGAGGCGAGCTGGGCTGCCGTGGAGCAAATCCCCACCGCCACCCCTGGGATGGCGCATCCACCCTGATTTTTTTTTTTGTTTGGGGGGGGGGGCACTGCGGGGCTCTCTAGGGTTCTCTTTCAGAAAACCCTAGAGAGCCCCGTAGTCTCTAGGGTTCTCTTTCGGATGGCGTATCCACCCTGCTTTGGAGCAAATGCCCACGGTCACCTGTGGCACTCCGTCGTGCTGTGGAGCAACTCCCCCTCCCCATTACATCTCTCCCTGAAATGATGTCGAGCCTCCCAATACAGAGGTGACTGTTCTGCAAGGCGACTGTGCCGTCAATCACTGCAGTGCCCTCTTAGTTTTCAGCCAAGCCCTCTGGGAATGGGTTGCCAACCTCCCACGCCAACACTCAAGGATAGGTGAGCTAACACAATTCTCCTTTTCTTCCGATTTTCCCTCCTCCTCCTCCTCCTCCTCCTCCTCGCCCTCCTCCTCTCCATCCCCCCTGTCCTCCTGCTCCTCTGAACCCTTCGCCTGCTGCACCCCCTCCTGCTCCTGTCTCCTCCTCCTCCGCGTAGTCCACCTCCTTCTCCTCCTCTTTCGCCTTCTCCTCCTCCTCAGCCTACTCCTCCTCCTCATCATCATCAACAACAACAGCATCTGCATCATCATCACTATCAGCAGAAGCATTATCATCATCATCATCACCATCATCATCACCACCATCATCATCAGCAGCATCATCAGCAGCACCATCATTCTTATTGTCATAAATATCATAATCATCATCGGCAACCTCATCATCACCAGCATCAGCATCAGCATCAACATCATCATCATCATCATCATCATCATCATCATCATCATCATCATCATCATCATCATCATCATCATCATCATCATCATCATCATCATCATCATCATCAGCATCAGCATCATCATCATCATCACCGTCAGCATCATCAACATCAGCATCATCAGCATTCAGCATTATCAGCTTCATCATCAGCAGCATCATCAGCATCATCAGCATCAACCCCTCGTTCTACTTCCGCATTTCCACTGCTCTTTCTCCTCTTCACCTCCTCTTCCTCTTCCTTCTCCGTCTCCTCCTCATCCTCCTACTCCGAAAGCCAACCTCCGAAGATCACCCAAACATTTGAAAACGCGAAACACATCGACAAATAGGTTCATTACTCCTCCGCCTCCGGCCTCGTTCGCCTTCCTCCTCCTCCTCCTCCTCAATTCCCTGTTCCTACCTCCGCATTCCCAATGCCTTTCCCGCTTCCTCCTCCTCCTCCTCCTCCTCCTCTTCCTCCTCCTCCTCCTCCTCCTCATCCCTCACATCATCCTCCTCACTCGCTCCCCCTCCTCCTCCTACTTCTCCTTGTCCCGCTCCTCCTCCTCCTCCTCGCCTCCTCCTCCTCCACCTCCTCCTCCTCCTCCTCTTACTCCTCCTCCTCCTCCTTTTCCTTTTCCTCCTCCTCTTCCTCCTCCGCACTCCTCCTACTCCATCCCGATCCATTAATCCTCCTCCTTCTCCTCCTCCTCCTCCTCCTCCTCGTCCTCGTCCTCTTCCTCTTCCTCCTCCTCCGCACGCCCCACTCTTGCCACCGAGAGCTCGCAAACTGCCAGGAACGTCTAAAGGCAACCTAGTGGCATGGTCGCTGAGCCATCACTGCTACAAGATGGCAAGACCCATCCGCCTCCGCGTGCTAGTACGTACCCAGGGCAAGTTTCGCCCCCCTCCCCACCCACCCCCATAGACAAACACTTCCTTCCGGCAATCTTCTCGACCCCGAGACCGCATCAAGACGGAGGAAGAAACAGGGGAACAGGAAGAGGACGGGAAGGAGGAGAAGCATAAAGAGGAGAAGCAGGCAGAGGAGAACGAACGATGACAAGGAGAAGGATGAAAGAAGGAAGGATAACGTTCGGGAACGAGAGCGGGAGCGACAGGAGTAGGAGCAGAGGAAGAATGAGGATGAGGCGCAGCAGCAGAAGGAGCAGGAGGGGTTGGAACAGGAGAAACAGGAGGAGGGATGGGGAGGAAGAGAAAGGATGGAGAGGAGGAGAAGCAGACGCAGGCACACGAGGAACAGGAGCAGGAGAAGGAGGAGAAGCGGGACTACGAGCAAAAGACTGGCCTTCTTGAGGTCCATCAGGCGGTGTGAAAACTGGGTCACCAACATCTTTCCATGCTGGGTGTTGTCAAGGGAGAACCCAATCGCCTGCGCGCCCGATCGCAGGCGGGGACGGCGTCAATGCGCTCGGTGTCTGCAAACATGTGGCTGGATCCGGAACATAGTGGTCGTCGTCGTCGACGGCCCCGACAACCACGACAAGCATCGACGGGCTCGCAAGTCTTGGCCTGGGTCCCCAGACCTCCCGCGTCAATCTTTTTACTGTTTCAAGAAAAGGGCCTCCAGACATGTCGACCCGAGAGAACTGAATATTTCTGTCGAAATAGAGCTGCGTGCGCTTGTCTTTTAGTCGATTTCGACTGCAACAAAACATCGGGGGCGTCTGGGAGGGAGGCGTCCAAGAGGGAGGTTCGCAAATCATGTCCCTCGGCATGCGACATGTGCACGGACGAGGAGGAGGAGGACCAAGAGACGCATTGAAAGAAGGAGAGGGGGCCGTGGGATCCCGGGAGATCTCTTGGCCCAAGCCACCCACGGTGTCCACTCCCCACAGCCATCACCTCCCTCTTGGACGCTCCCGAACCGATACGGTCGGACTTGTCTTGAGGGGCAACGATAGGGGGGGGATAGGCATAGGGGGGGGACGCATCGACCTGCCATTGGCGATACATCGTCCACAGATCGGCGAGCAGCCCCCAATACCAATAGTGAATCCGCACCTTCCTGGGCGGGGTGGGGCCATCGGGTCCCTGTCGGCGATCAATCGGCGATTGGGGGTCGATGCATCCCCCCCTCTGCCTATCCCCCGGATCGTTGCCGCCGATGACTGGACAGGACACGCGAGAGGACACAATTACGATCCTTCCGAGGGCCACATTTTGCCATAGGAATGATGAGGCATGGGTGCTGAGACACAGGGCACAAGGGTGCCCTTGATTTGGCAATATATCGACCTACTGAGCAGGGCCGACTGTAACAGTTCTTTCTGGGACCGCAAGGGTTCCCTTCCAAGGACGAAGAAGACCAGGACTTACGCTCCTTGACCTACTCGTGCTAGCCAGGGGTCATGGGGATATAGATAGATCCCGAAATAATCCATCATCCTTGCAAATCTCTCGTTGAATGGTTTGCAAGACGCCAATGCCGACGAACATGACCGACCCACAAACCCGGTAAGGAATATGGAACTGTAAGGCATGGCAACCCTTCACAGACACCTGATTGGGCGACGGGCAAATGCAATGCTGAATGTATCGATCTTGATGTACCCTGCCGAGGGCTGTGCTGTGCTGCGCCGTGCTGAACTGCGATGTGCCATGCCGAGATTGTGCCCTATAGCGTTGTGGATCGAGTCCTCCTTTGCATCCGAGTCCTGACCGAACTGATCTGGGTCGGAAGCCCGAGCTGCCTGGGCACACAGTAGCTGCCCCAGAGCTAATTGACAAGGAACATGCCAGGAGGACGCGCCGCGGAACGTTTCAAGGGACGCGCCAAGCGACGTGCCATGGGGACGTGCCATGGGGACGTACCGCGAGACGTACCAAAAGGACGCGCTACGGAACGTGCCAATGGACGTGCCACGGGACGTGCCAGATGACTCGCCACAAGACGCGCCACGGAACGTGCCAAGGAACGTGCCAAGTTGCAATGCTGAATGTATCGATCTTGATGTACCGTGCCGATGGCTGTGCTGTGCTGCGCCGTGCTAAACTGCGACGTGCCATGCCACGATTGTGCCCTATAGCGTTGTGGATCGAGTCCTCATTTGCATCCGAGTCTTGACCGAACTGATCTGGATCGGAAGCCCGAGCTGCCTGAGCAAACAGTAGCTGCCCCAGAGCTAATTGACAGGGGAGCATGCCAGGAAGACGCGCCGCGGAACGTTCCAAGGGACGCGCCAGGCGACTTGCCAGGGGACGTGCCATGGGGACGTGCCATGGGGACGCACAGCGGGACGTGCCAAGGGGACGCACTACGGAACGTGCCAATGGACGTGCCACGGGACGTGCCAGGGGACGCGTCGCGCGACGTGCCAGGGGGACTCGCCACAGGACGCGCCACGAAACGTGCCAAGGAACGTGCCAGGTTGCAATGCGGAATGAATGTATCGATCGTGATGGACCGTGCCGGAGGCTGTGCTGTGCTGTGCCGTGCTGAACTGCGATGTGCCATGCCGTGATTGTGCTCTATAGTGTTGTGTATCGAGTCCTCCGCTGCATACGAGTCCTGACCGAACTAACATGAATCTTAAGCTCGAGCTGCCTGAGCACATAGTACACATAGTAGCTGCCCCAGAGCTAATTGACATGGGAACATGCAAGGAAGACGCGCCGCGGAACGTTCCAAAGGACGCGCCACACGACGTGCCAAAGGGACGTACCATTGGGACGTTCCGCGGCACGTAAAAACACGTGGCGCCATCTCGGGACAACCATGTTAGATACCCCCTCTGGGTGGCCTGGACACGTAAAAACACGTGGTTCCAGCTCGGGACAATCATGTTAGAGATCTCCCTGGGTGGCCTGCGCATGAAAACAACACGTGGTTCCAGCTCGGGGCGACCAAGTTAGATACCCCCTGCGTGACCTGGATACGCTGAATTCGCGCTCCCGCTCGAGACATCCTCGCAATGTCTTCCCTGGATGGGCATCCAACGCGCAACCCCCTGTCCAGAGCAAGGGCGCATCACTTTTCTGTATTGGGACATGTGTTCGGGTAGCGCATTTCGGCCCCCCGTGCGTTTCCTCATAATTCGGCGTTGGGCCCGACGCCATCTTGGATACCCCCCTGGGCGGCCTGGGCACGTAAAACCACGTGGTTCCAGTTCGAGTCAATCATGTCAGATACCCGACTGGGTGGCCTGGACACGTTAAAACAGGTGGTGTCAGCTCGGGACCACCATGTTAGATACCCCTCCTGGGTGGCCTGAACATCTAAAAACGTGGGTGCCAGCTCTGGGCAACCATGTTAGGTACAGGCCTGGACATGTTAGAACACTAACACGTGGTTCCAGTTCGGGACAATCATGTTAGATACCCGACTGGGTAGCCTGGACACGTAAAAACACATGGTGCCAGCTCTGAGCACAAGTTAGATACCCCCCCTGGGTGGCCTGGACAATTGAAAACACACGGTTCCAGCGCAGGACCACCATGTTAGATAACCCTCCTGGGTGGCCTGAACATGTTAAAACACATGGTTCCAGCTCGGGACCACCATGTTAGATACACCGCTGGGTGGGCTGGACACGTGAAAACACGTGATTCCAGCTCGGGACCACCATGTTAGATACCCCCCTGATGGCCTGCACACGTAAAAACTCACGGTTCCAGCCCACCCAGGGGGGGATACCCAACATGCGGTCGTCTGAGGCGCCAGCGACAGACAACCATGTTGGATACCCCCTGGCCGACCTGGGCACGTGAAAACAAGCATTTCGCCTGAGACATCCTGTGAATTCTGGCCCCCTACGAGGCCCCCGCTCGAGACATCCCCCAACTCTGCAAAACCAGCGTTTCGCTCGAGACATCCTCAACAAATTCTGAACAACAAGCGTTTCGCTCGAGACATCCTCAAAGTTTAATCCGCCGGCCCACCTCGACCTCGATAATTACCCAGAAAATAATCCGCCGGCCCACCTCAGTCATGGCACCGGGGACAGTTGACAAACTGAAAGAGAACCCTGGGCCCACGCCCTTTCCGAGGAAAAAGGCTCCCGATCGCCCATTGACCGCCCATAGGGGGGAAGGCAGACCACCTCGCCTGGGAACGCGCGGGGGGGCCCATCCCGCCCTGAGCCTATTCCCCCCCCCCTATCCTTATGTTGCTCCCATCGTACTTAAGGACCACATCCCAGCAATAAGCTCGCGCGCCCAGAAAAAAACTATCGAAACAGTGTCGAACGAGCCTCGCCTCCCGAGGCCCGACGCGTGAAAATCCCCCAGCTTCGGTACTTCCTTTGGTGCTCGAAATTCGTACTGGTGATAAGTAGGTTGGAGCATCATGACCTTGTCCACCGCCACTAGAGGCCTTCTAAATGGGGTCGGAGTAGATGGGGTCGGAGGATCGCGCCGAATCGGCGATACATCGGCGAGGCATCGGCGATGCATCGGCGATGCATCGGCGATGCATCGGCGATACATCGCCGACGTCGGCGATGCATCCGCGACATCGGCGTGGAGAAATCGGGCTCCGCATCGAGCCGCATGGTCGATGCATCGGCGATGCGGCGCGATCCTCCGACCCCATCTACTCCGACCCCATCTAGGAGGCCTAGAGCCACGGTTGCCCCCCAGAAGAAGGAGCACACCGGCATCGCAAACGGCCACGGCGTCCAGCGGTCCAGGACCTCTGGGTCGCAGCTCCGGTGGCACCTCACGGGAGCCTCCCAGACCCCCTCGTGCTGGCCCTTGCAGGTCGACGCTGCTCGCCGCTGAGTCGGCGCTGAATCCACCCTCGGTCGACGCGCGCTGACGCCAACGGATTCGAAATATCGCCGCATCTCGTCGACTACAAGGGCTCCCAACTTCGCGCTTCGCGCTGCGCGAAGCGCGAAGTGCGAATAACTTCGCGCTCTCGCGCCGCCTCCCAGGGGGGAAGAGGAGGAGGAGGAATCGGAGCCGAACCGCGAAGCGCGAAGCGCGAGTAACTTCGCGCCCTCGAGGGCGCCCTTGCGACTACCAGACGCCAGCCGACGCCAGCTGGCGCACGCTCGAGACGCCACTGCGAGGGTATAGAGAGAGAAGGCTCCCGTGGTCTGCGACCGCACCTCCCTGCGGTTGCCCACGCTGGCCGAGCCGTGGCGTCGCCGGGGCAAGGGGCCTCCTCCTCCTCCTCCTCCTCCTCCTCCTCCTCCTCCTCCTGCCTCCTCCTCCTCCTCCTCCTCCTTCTCCTCCTCCTCCTCCTCCTCCTCCCTCCTCCTCCTCCTCCTCTCTCTCCTCCTCCTCCTCCTCCCTCCTCTCCTCCTCCTCCTCCTCCTCCTCCTCCTCCTCCTCCTCCTCCTCCTCCTCCTCCTCCTCCTCCCCGCCGCCCTCGATGTGCTTCTGGGGCGCGAGTGCCAGCTGCTGGGGAAACCACAGGGCACCGAT